TTATATCACACATGAGAATATTGTACTCCTATTATTTATAAGCGCCGTCAAAATTCTGCTAACTCATTAAAAAACATTCAATGTCTAGACGCTGGAGCACAAAAATAACTACAGTATTACAATTGCATTAGCCGTGCATGCTATGTAGACAAATAATACGTCTACATTATTTGCAATTGAAAGAAATTGTATTTTATATTCTGTATTTATTTTGAGAAATACAGAGAAGCTTTACTGCCACGACAGGTAGTTATGAACAATAAAGTATTGTTTGAAATATAACAGAAAGCTGATACTAGAAGCTATTACTCCTAAACACACAATACGATCAACTTTTTCTGTACTTTACTCATTACTCACATATGTACGGGGACTTTGAACCTGAATTGATGTTTCTAATAAGTCAATGTCTTTTTATTTGAAATCAAGTGTGGGGCGTTAAGTTAGAATATGTGATACAGCGAGATACCCCAAGAGTATATAGTTAAGACAAACAGGTGGATTTACGAAGTCTGAAAATGAGATTAAAGGTCTAGCGCTGGATTGGAACATAATATACAACTTTCTCAAAGACTCTCAGTCATTTTATTTTTTATTAAAGAAAACCAGAAAAATTACCTTTGACCGTGTTAAGTACATTTTAGATATGCCTTCTAACCTATATGCTAGTATTTACATTCATCCAGTATTTAAGTTCCAATTAACAACAAATTTGAATTAGTTTAAGAGTCTAGACAATCGGAAAAACTTATTTAAGATTTTAGGTCAAATTTTGAATCTGCATAGTGGCTATTGAAAGACATGAGAGTTGCACACACAACAAGGAAGAACACCCAGAACCATTTATAGCAAAAATTATCAAATTGGCTGGACGATTAAATTACTCCGATACTAAGAGAGGATCGGTGGGCAGAGAGTATTAGGATTTTTGTAGTGACAAGGTATTTCATATCTTTCATCACTTTATCTTGGGAGTAATATTGAGGTAGTTTCATCCTTGCTTTGCTCGTCTCAGTCTTCTGGCCGTTAAATTTACTCCAAATTTCGCCCAGAATAGTCTGTTAACGAGCCGTACTAGAATTTGCTTCTTTCGCCTCTTTTCAGTACTCCATCACTGCTGCCCCTGTCGAATTTATTTTACTAAAATGTATTATTTCAGTTTTAAAAATCAGTGATACAATTGAGCTTCCTCACCGGCGACAACGGTACCATCGTCGTTGCCACCACATTTTGCCTAAGACTTGTGCAAAAGAAAGAGACATTCTACACGACAGTCTACAACGATTGAATGCATTATTAATACTTGTACTCGTATATGTACATATTATTATATATACGCTCATGTGTTTGTTTACGCCAGTGCAAGAGAATTTGAGCGAAACGTTTTAAATACAGTAACCGGGTAACGATTCGGCACGTTTTCTGACACGAATACGAGGACTTTCGCTTGTGTTTTTTTTCTTAAAATAATCAGAACACTTCGTTTATTTACCGGCTTATAAAATGAAATAATAAGAACAATAATGACCGGTTAAATGGGGGAGAGAGGAGAGGTGGGGAGAGGGGAATAGGGGTGATGGCGGCCGAGCGACGGGCACGAATAATTATTACCAAGTTAGGTTTTTCTTTCTTTTAAGAAATAAGCATAAATCGTAATGTCTATTGATTTTCTGTTACCCTTACCCCTGGTAACCTGAAACGACCAAACGTGCACGGTGGACTACCATACACTATTAGGTAACACAGACGCCTAAGTCGTTCTCTCCACGGTCGCCCCATGGTCGGCCGTCACTCCTCGCGGTATCGGCAACCGTTTTTTTTTAATATTAAATTTCGTTTCCATAAACGTTCCAACCGAACGGCCGATGAATTACCAATGAAATTACACCGATGATGATAACAATACGTCATATAATATCATAGTGTATGCACAGCGCTGACAACAGTCAGACAGCGGCGGCTACGAGTGTAATTGTAATTATGGTGTACAATGACATTATTATTCAAAGGCATTTTATTCGATTCAAATATATTTCTATTTGCCACACGCATGTCGTGTTATTCGTTTGCAGGGTCTAACCTATACATTGTGGTGGATTTAGTATTATTAGTCGATGCGTGTGTGTTCGATACGTTTATGCGCAACGTACCTACCTATATTATTGTTGCATGTCAAATGTGCATAAAATGTGCCTAAACTCCCCACTTTGCGCCGCCTGTTAGCGATTCGCACAAAATTATTTCATTTTTCCCACGGGGCCACCGCAGCGCGCATGACTAACCGTATAATATTATTTTGTGTTACGGTTAGGTTTAAGCATTTGTTCTTGTGTACGTGGTATTTTTGTTGTTGTACGTGTTGTAACATTTATTTTCTTATTATTATGACACAAGTATTATTCCACGGCGTTATCCGTGTACGCCGTGTGTGTGGTTTTTTTTACCAATTCGAAGGCTATCCCGACAACAACAGCCGTATCTTTAGAGGTTGACAAAATATTAAATCAATCATTAAAGAAAAACAAGTTATAAAGTGTTTTTGTAAGGAGCCAACCGAAAAGAATACTAAATGAACTTAAGCATCATGAATGGCATGTTTACAAAAAAAGAAAAAGTTGTTAAAAAAATATGGTTTAAAATTTCATTAAAAAAAACTCTCTTTAAATATATTATTTTTTATACCTGAATTAATGTTCTGACTAGAAACTAGAATACATAGGATTTGTCTAATTGTTTTAGAAATTATAACTATTAAGGGAATTGCATGCGATTGGTTTTTAAGGAGTGTTGTATAGGCAATATTTAAGAAAAAAGTGGATTTAATAAATTTCGATCATGTCAATAAATTAATTTATCGGTTAATTTTTATAAGCTAAGTATTATTTTTAATTTAAATAATTATGTCTATGAGTAAAAACCATTTTAGTTAATATAATATACATTTTTTGTTCCATAGCACAGGCTGAACCAGTGATCCGATAAGTAATCTGAAAACAGATTTGAATTCGTCATGAAGTTTACTTGAGATCGGTCAGCGTACTTTTTTGATATCTTATTCCTACTATGTATAAAACACGTTTGAACATTATATAAAATTTCAATTTTGGAAACGGTTAAAATTAAAAATATACAAAAATATATGAAAACAAGTGTATGAAAAAAATCTTTGAATAGGTCTTATAATATTTGATCGATTTACTGGAGAACTTCTGGCTCCTTTATGTTTTATTTTGTAATCATTTTATTTGATAATAAGGATAATTTTCTAGTAAACTTAAGACCATTAGGAGACTGGAGTAATTATAAACAAATGAGACGTAATATGTAAATGTAGTTTATTAAAAAAAATTACCATTTGTTGTATAAAACGTCTAAGCATCTAAAAATCAAACGCTTTCAATTACAATTTAGAGTACTTGATTGTAGTTGATTGATTAATTTCTTTAAAATTACCCTACTTGAAACTATAAAATGTTGTTTAAAAGTTAAGAAAATACCAAAAAATTAGAGAACTGAGACTATTAAACGATATAATGAAAAAAGTGAGAAAAATGAAAAAGCAATGCAGTAGGGAAGATTGGACTGTGGCCAATTTCACTTATGTGACAAAAAAACAAAAAGGAGGTTAACTTTTTTAAATTAGCTCAACGGCAAACTGAAACACTGTCCTACAGTCCTGTAAAATAATTGACCTTCTTTATTTTATATAGAGCTTAAGGTTTTATATTACAATAGTGTGCCTATGTTATTCTATTGTCATGTAATCGTTATAAACTTGTATAATATAAAAAAAAAATCAATGAAATCATATTACCATCATAGTATTTATTATATTGTATTGAATCTAGAAAAAAAAATTTCAAGAGTAATCAATATAAAATATAAAATCCATATAAAAGTACTATTAAGTAACATATTATGTTCAGTCGCTAATAAGCTCAAGATTTCTTGAGATATAATACAAATAAGTAACCTTAATTTTCAGAGTTTTGACTTAACTATTATAGTTTTCTTCTTGTATCGTTATTTAGGATACGACAAGTTTATGATGATTTAACCTGAAATGATAATAGCTAAGCTCTGTTTATCGGGCGATAAATTACTTGGTAAATAGGATCTGCCATCCCTTTATTCCCTCTCTCCAGCGATAGACCGTCGGGCGACGACCCATCCAAGATAGCGAAAAAAAATACCATCTCATGATGGCAGCGTTTGGCCTTCAAGGCTACAAGATCATGATGTTATAGCTAAACCTATACTGAACATTTTTAATAAATAAATTGGCCGAAATCACAACTCACATGATTCAAAAATCACACTTTTCAGGGAATACAAAAACTGTAGAAGGTTTTCTTGGACAAAAAAGAAACTCAAAATACATTACACTTATATGAGATTTAGGCTATCAAACGTCGTCGAAATTAAAGATTATAGTGGTTATCTTTTTTAATTTAGCTTGAAGGTTAAACAATAAAGTAGAAAAAATAAGAATCGGCTTCAGTATCAAATCTCACATGGTTCAATGGTATTTGTTAGTTTTGAATTCTAATACTAGCCTCTACTTTCAAGGTTATAATAGTCTGTTCTAGTTTAAAAAAAATGGTAACAGATTCAAATTCACCGTTAAAAATCCTGTTAGATAGTATTTCCTATTTTTTGAATTATGTGAGCTTTGATTTCAGCCTTCTCAAATATTATGCAAAGCAACTTTTCCGCAATAAGACTACACAATAAGCAAACAGCTCCTTAATTTTTGAGCTTACTTCACTATGAGCTACTCGTTGTCGAAATTTCAAAAAGACATTTCCCTATTATTTCAATGTATTTTTTTAAAATTTTATCTATAGCTGTTATGGGGATCTTTTTTTATTTATTCTTAGGCGTGGGACAATACTTGGGGTATTTTTATACTCTATATAACACTATATGTTTGAGGTTGAAATTGGTTTAGCGCGGATCCACATAATATAATATTAATACGGTAATTTTGTTACACTGACCGTCGTTAGCTGTGGCCGTCGGGCACGCCTAGTATTTCGATGTCGTGCAGTCCCGACGTCTGGATGGTCGTCACTAGCTGCGTCGCCCGCCCGCCGTGCTTGACGGACCGCATGACGGGCGGTGTGGTGTCCCTCCAGCCGTGCACTTCGGGGTTGTACGGTTCCAGCGTGTTCACGTAGTCCCTCAACGACAGCGGCTGCAGTTGTAGTCCGTCCGCCGTACTTGAGTGCGTGAACTCCGTGTAACCCACGGCGGCTGCCCATGTACAAAACAATCATATTTTAGTTACAAATACATGTAATATCGTCCGACTAGGGCCTGAGTTGAACATTTCGATCCGCAAAGCCAAACACCTCGGGGGGCCCTTACCATAAATTTAAAAAATAACGCCCCTCCTCCCCCCCAAACAAATTTTGTTTACCGTTATATTTACACCACTGCTATTACTTGGAACCGCTTAAATGAGCAATACTGAATTTTTTTTTAACGGGCAAAGAATTGTGTTTAATCTCTACCATCTCAGTTGACTCATAAAAGCACACGCCACGTTTCAAATGTCAACTACAATTTGTTTGAAAGGCACAAAGCATATTAATACATCTGTGGCTTTATTATATTTATATAGCTTATACTATAACAGTTATGTTATGATTTTTGTATCAAATGTGTAGTTTGAATAAATAAAAAATACAAAAAAAAACACTTTTTTTTCCTTCAATTATTTTAAAGGGCAATAGAAAATAAACAAAAAATGCAATGCCATTTTTATCACATATAATAATATGATCTTTACACTATGTAAAAAAAAAGTTATCAGACTAAAATGATTTACTAATTTATTTTTCTCGAGATATCTCACGGTGGAATGTAAAAATGATGAGTTAATAAATAAATAAAATAAAGAGGTAATAAAAAGTCTCTTAAATGATACCAAACGAGCCATCACCCGGTCGGGTTGCCCCCAAGCGCAACCGTAAAGTTTCGGTTTATGCCTAATCGGAAACATATTAAGAATTTAAGAACCATTGTATATTTAGGCTAATGAATTTTGTATTAGAAACTCTGATAAATATTTAGAAACTGATAACCCGCCAGCATTCTTATCATATAATGTTATAGAGATCGCAAATATTCAACATTTCAATGCTTCATTAATTAATAAATAAATCAATCGATTCGGTATTAGAATAAAATTGCACCATTGATTTTTCTGTTATGTAATACAAGCTAAAAGAAATACCGATATTCACAGATATTTAAGAAAAAAACGTTACTCTTCTCTATCAAGAACAATCATTTCAATTTACGATTCTTCGGCTATCTTGTTATTACACCCTCATCGTCTTTTGTGCTCGTTTCTACCTTATCGCTTTATTTTTAACCTCAACAATTAAAAATGTTAAGCCAACAAGCATAGACATACACAATAGACAGAACATTCGGTATGATAAAGCGTGAGTGTTAAGTGGGTGGTAAGCGGAGTTTTTGCCAAGGATCGGATGACATAATTTGCTTCGGACTGTCGTATCATATGAAAAACAAAGGAGTTATCTCGGCTGTATTCTCCTATTAATATAACTCTTATTCTAGTGTTATTACAACGTTTCTATCTCTATTAATCCGATTGGCACGACCACGCCTACCGGTCCTCGAGGCAAATTTTCCGTCTAGATGTGTATGTCTATGCCAATAAGTCACATACAAACGTATAATATTGATTCTTATTCTAGTGTTATACTAAATAACATAAAAAAAGTCATTCTAGTGTGATATTTATTAGTTTATAATAAAGACAAGACTGGTTTCCTTACAAGCGAATGACACTACATTTTAATTATATTATCGAGTGGACCCATTTGAAGAACGCAACGTCTAAAAATTAGCACGACGTGCAATTTTCTTTTTTCAATCCGTGTTCCATAGTCGAAAAATTCAATTACTTGGGTTGTACTAATGGAAAATGTCTGTGATGTCTGCACCTCAGCGTTAAGCCAATAACGGTCATTCAACGTTAAAACTTGAATCGGTATGGCACACGAATAGATGAATGTTAGATATTAGTGTATGTGTGTATGTAGATTGTAAAAGTATATTTTTACTATTTGTTTATCATTATTTACTATCATTCGATATATACGCTATAAGTTACTGGAGGTAAACAAGGTCAATGACATTTCTCTTGTTAAAGGCAAGGAGAAAAATGGAAATGTGTGCATAACCCTAAAAAAAGCCATATTGATTAGGACGATATATATATATACACCACACAATCGCAAACGTTTTTGTCGCCTTCGTAATTTGTTTCATGCGGTAATTGTATGGTTTCTTCTGTATAGTTTAATTTTTTGTTTTCAGAGTGTGACGAGCAAAAAGAAAATATTCTTTCCCGGTTTTGGCATGGCAAACCGAACCGTATGCCAGCAGTGAATCGCACCAGACCAATTATTGTGAGATGCTCGGCCGCCCAAATCGAGGTTTCAAGGATTTCCTCGGTTGACCGTTGGTTGCCGTTTGGTGCCCTTCGGAAAATCGGTTTCGCCACAGAAGTGGAAGTGATTTATTATAGCCCTTTTATCGCCGAACGTTGCTAGGTTATGTTCGATTCTTATTAAATTATTCAAGAAGGTGGTCGATCAACTTGGCCAGCGGGGTTAAGGCAAACGAATTACGTGCGGAGGCGGTCGGCGGTGGAGAAGGCGACCTTCAAGAAGGGAGGAGGGGTGGCGCTGACCTTGGAAATGGACACACCACCGTCACACGGCGTGCCACCAATCGATCGTTCAACTCTATCGCCAAACACATGCGAAATATTAAATAACCACATACACACACAGGCCACACGATTGCATGGTGCTTAGGAATGTGGGTCAAAAAGGTGGTAGAAATTATGTTTTGGAAAACGCTACTATTATGTACACCGCCGACGAGTTTCACGGTCATATCGCTGGCGGCGACGGCTAATTTCTTCTTGCCTCCCCTATTCTCATCCAAACTACCCACTATTATTCTTCCACCACGTTTAAAACTATCATGGTCGTCGTCGACGTGTTACCGACAAGCCGTCTTACCCAAGTTTTCGGGAAGTTCGTTCTGTTGTTTCCAGCAGCAGAATATTTCTGATATGATCCATCTGAAGAAACTTTTGCTCGAGTTATTCATCACACGGTACCTGACGGATACCGAACAGTATAGAATATTCGCTTCCGTCATAGTCCATCTCGACTGCAAGAACACCATACAATTTGTATATGATTAATATTATATTATTATACAATGCATTAGTATGATCGAAGTGTCTACCGGGGTAGTGCGAGTTTGTTGAAAAAATAAGAAAAAAGTAAAACTTGTGTTAAATTAAAATCAAACAGGCCTATCGTGGTCAGCGTGACATAAGACAAATAAGGCTTCGGTATAAAATTGTGCCATTACACCTTTAAAGACCTAAGGACTCGTCATCGTCACAGCCAGTTCTCATACAAGTCCTACAGGCTAATAGTTTTTATACCGTTCTTTACAACAGAAATACCCGCGTTTGACCCCTCGATAACGGCAATAATCTAACGTCTAATAGATATTGTCTTTGGCACGTTGGGCTATCGAATCGAATCGCTGGCCGTTCCGAATTTTGAAAGTACTCTACCAGGAGGATCTACTGATCGCCGGCGTGTATTCATTAAACTTAAGCAGGGTCGTGGTCTGTGATATACGACGACCGCGATTATTTTCATTTATAACACTGTAAACGATGGCCATATAAAACCATCGGATCGTCGAGAGCTCGCATCCAGAAACCTTGTCTTCTGCCTTCGAGTCTTACGGCAACCCTTCAAAGGGGGGGGGGGAGAGGAACTTTTGAAAGAATACACCGTATTGTTTACGTGGCGTGTTCGTTTGAACTTTAAAGTTTGTAAGCGCGACTTACTACATGGTACATATTATAGTAAATGTATTATTGCTATGGCCTCAGAAAAGTCTTATAAGCGGTTTTTTAGTTTCGGTTTTCGATTTTGCCTTGCGGTCCGTTAGAAACCGCGCCGACGGATGTGACGACAACGGCGGTTTTTCTTTTGAAGCTGACACGGGGAGTATGGGGAGGGATCTACTATTTTTGGCGGTCGGTTATTTTTAGGTCGCATGTCGCGAACAGAGATAAAATTCGATATTCGGCGGCATCACGTTTAATGAGCGTAACGCGCCCGTCGCATAAAACGCATCATAGGGACCGCGATACCTGATAACCAAAATATGTAAATTATATTAATAATTGGCATACTAATGTAGGTATGTAATAATAATAGTAATGAATAGGCGGCGACGGTCAGACGCGTGGACGTTTGATATCGGGGCCATGCATCGGTTTTGATAACATTTGAGAAAAATTTTATTTTGAACATTTGCCACGTGAATCGGGCCGGGTCGTCGGCACACAGATCGCGAACGCTAGTGATACCGTTGGCGGTGCCAAAAAAAGAAACGAAAAGACAAGCAGAGATCACTCTCTACGTTTTTTTTTTTATTATATTATTATTTTTAGACATGATTTAATAACAATAATGTGTAATAATAAGCTGACGCGAGATACCTTATTAATAATTGTCTTTCATTTACTATAATATTTTTTTTGTATATTATTATCACAATAATAATAAGCGATCGAGGTTTATTTTTTTTTGTCAAAATTTAGTTTATAATTACGTTTGTCTCTTGAAAGGTCCTCCTGCCCAACCGAAACGTCCCGGTATCGATAATCGCGACGATGCAGGAAGAACGACGACCGTCTCTGACCTTTCTTTTTTATCATCTCCCATCTCGACCGGCAATCGTCGCCACAATTATGGTCATTCGACGGACGTTTTCATAGCGTTCGAAACGCGGACGGCGACGAGACATCGAGTTTAACAAAACAAAAAATAAAATTAAAAAATCCAAATCCGACGGCGAATATTAAGTAAAAAAAATATTTAAAAAATACTATACAAATTAAAAAAAAAAACTAATTTTATTTATTAGTGAGCTATCATCGTTACGGATTGTGTGTGTAGACTCGGTGAAATAAAAACGAAAACTTTTTTCAAAGAAAATAATATTATACAGCGTCCGACACGCCGGCGATTCTCTCTTGTACGCGCGACCCGTTTATCAGTCGAATACTCGAATATTAAATATTTTTTTATATTATAATATCATTGTACGGCCGAACGGTATTCGGTCGTAACTATTATTATACATGCGCGCGGCTGACGGTGGTATAGTGTGTGGTGACGGCGGCGGCAGTGGCGACGGCGTTGTCGACGATGTCGTGTCGAACTTTTGACTGACCCGACAAAAGCGAACCGCGAACGCGGAGACCTTAAAACGATAGAGCGCTACCTTTAACAACAATAAATAATCGTAAAAAAAATGTATATGTATACATTTATATACATATATATGTGTAGACATTTATATATATATATATATATATATACACACTGTAAGCGCGCGACAGGCCGTAAGACGGTCGTCGGTCGTGACGGTAGCCAAGTGAGTGTGTGTATCTATTTATTATATTATATACATACATATATATATATATATGGGTATGAAAATAAATTTGCAATGAATGAAAGAGAGAGAGAGAGAGAGAAATTATTACTTTTTTACCTTTACGTGGCGTGTCCTTCTTCCCTCGACGGGAGGCGTGCCGTCATGCTAAGTAAAGGTACATTGGTTTTTAAAAATTAATTTTATTATTACTATTTTTTTATATAACAATAGGCCGTTATCGTTAAATCGAACGGTTTTGGCGAGTTAAAAAATTGAACCGCACAGCCCAAGAGTGGTGAACGAGAACAGCGTTGGGGTTTTATTTCGACCGATCTATGGTTGACAAAAATCGTCTTTTCCGTGTTCTCTCTTGCCGGCTTGCATATTCATTAATTTCAACTGTACCCGACACATCCAGCTCACCTAGTTCGAGTACTGTGATTGTGAAATCATATTGTTATTAGGTATGATCTGGTAGTGTTTTGGACAATTCAACGGGAATATAATTTTATGTAAGTCTCAAATTTGAGCCATTTTAAAATGTGTCTGTGGCAATGTTACAAATGCGATGGATAACGTATCTATTTGATTTGGAATTGTAAATGGTTTTAAGAAAGCCAACTTAGCAACTAGCATACTTAATTATAATCAATAATAATATTATATGTTCGAGACATATTACTTTACCTATTTTACTTTGAAGGTTGAAAATACAAATTGTAATCGGTAATTTTATTTTGACCAGATTTGTTAAAAATTAGGTAATTTGATAGATAAATTACATTGATCCAACTAGAAAATGTAATGACCCATCCTGATTACATATAAGTAGTATGTAGGTTATGGAGTTTATGTATTTCATTGACAAATACAGTACCTATGTGACTATATAGTGCATATCTATTTAGAAATGCGTATATATATTTTGTAATGACACCTTTTTGTATAGTTACATTATAGTCGAATATTGTATTGATATTGTTTTTCTCTTATGATACTAATAAAACATAACTTAGTTGAATGTTTTAATAAACAGTTTTGCCGTCCTTGTTGGCGGGTCTGTTATTAATATTTCCATATTCTGTATTTTTAACCTATTTTTAGACACTTCTACGGTGTCGAACATAATTACTATAATTTGAATAATAGAAACGTACACGAAAATGTTGATAATATGTTGTCGATTTAAAACTAATTATAATGAAAGACAGACGACCAACCCTGAGTGTAGGTATCCACATTTATACTAAAAATATAGTTTTAAGCACATTTTTGCCTTGACCATGATTTTTATCGATATTTAATATTTTTCCCATATACAAATTTGAAATGGAGACTTTTTATGATATTATAATGGCAAAATACTTTCATATATTCTTATATTTATCTATTTGTAAGATTTTTTTTGATGAACACAAAAATATTAAAGTATGCAATTAAAAATATCGAAGCTAAAAAAGGATTGGTTAAATTTTTTCCTGTACCTTTGTTTTGTTTTGTAAGAGACATTATTTAGCGTATTATACATGGTATTTACATAGTTACAATAAAATTGGTATTTTTAAACAGAAAAAAATATTTCTGAAAGAACATCGTTTAAAAAACCAGCCAACGCCTATCAGCAACCGTCCTATTATGTTAGTAGTAAGTATTACATTTCTTGGAAACCTGTAAAGTAGTATTATGTAATAATATAAAACACATTTCTTCAGTTTTGGTTAATAATGATTAGTAGCACAATTTTGATTGACAATTTTTAAATCGATTTTATTCTGTTTTTAATTACTTAATTAAAAAAATATTGAAACACCATAAAAAAAATCACATATTTCGTATAATATTGTGTTTCAACTTTCAAACTCTACAAAAATAGATACTCTTAATACTACAATCTACAAATACAATTATAAGACCATATAAATGGTCAATATAATATAGATAAAAAGCGAAAAACGTTGTATAAATGACGCTGTAATAGTATTAAACAAGTGCATTACGATTTAAGAATAAAGGTTTCTCATTGCTATACTAGTATGATCATAATTCCATACACCATAGATTTAGTTATAAATTAAGTACTACGAAGGAAATTCATTTTAAATATTTTTTACAATTATTTATATTGGTGTTAGTTTAATTTTAAATTAATTACAATAACATTTATACATTTTCAGTATTTAAAAATAATATATATTATAATAATAATAATAATAATATATATATGCAATATACGTACTTGTTTCAAGCTTATATTATAAAATTTCACATGGAAATAAGACAGTGAAGTTTGTATTTTTGTGTTATTGAAGTTTACAATTTAAGTAAATTCATTTTTAACTCATGGCATGTTTAGTTGTTAAGTTCAAAAAAAAAATTATCGTGTTTATTTGGATTTTTGAATATACACATTTTGGGTACACTGAGATTATTTTGCCTAGTTTCCTAATTTGACATTAGGTCTTATACAATATAGAGTACTTAATTTGTTGTATTTTTACTATTAAATATATTTTTTTTAAATACCATGGTAATTATGTAGTTTAATCACTTAACTTAGAAAAGGCATATTTTACCCTTGTCGATGTTGAGGGCTAGACTCACAGCGTGACATAATTCAAAGCATTATAAGCGAAAAAGAAGTATTATACGACAAAAAATAATATTTATTGAGAAACTTTGTTAACAAAATTATTAAATAATAAAGGGGATAAATGCTCACCCTGAGTTACTTTAAACGTTACTTTATACATATTCGATTAAACACCAAACAATCTAATAAACTACATACCTGCGATTTGCGCTCCAGATGTGCTTAAATTTGAGATTTTATATTATTTCGGGTTCTTTGCCATCCCTCTAAAATCGAAGACATGCATATTTGGCCGCAGTTAATCTGGCACATGTACACACCATTGTCTTTAGCACCCCATATTGAAATTACACAATCGTTAAAGCGAACTGAAATATACGAACTTAAGTTGAAATAAATTGTTGAATTATCGAAACTCAAAATCAAAGCTGTATAATATGTGCCTACATTAAATTTCTTTACAGTGTTCTGTATTAATTATTATTATAATATAATTTAATATTATAATATTAAAACCAGGAAAATACACAGTCGACCATGTGTTTACACTAAGACAGTTAGTTGAAAAGCATTACGAGTACAATAAGCCATTACACCTGCTATTTATAGATTTTAAGCAGGCATACGATTCTATCAAGAGAAAAATCACTGTGGAAAAGCATGGAAAAGTTCGACTTAATTTTCACGTGAATCGTTAATGTGTATAATAATGCGTTATAAAAACCATTTATTATATAAATTATTATTTATAAAGAAAAACTAGTAATAACCATGCGATTGTTTGTTATTATTTTATATTTACATCCTTGGGGAATACGAAATTAATGTAGTCATCATGTACATAAACTTAATGACATCTATGTGTGTGAGTGTGTCTGTAAGCGTTAAACGAATGTAAAATTTTTAGTTAAACATCCATAACAGTAATTATTATTAATATGAGGAATAATTTAAAAAACTACGAGATGGGACATATTTTCAAATAATTATCCCTATTTATCAGTACCACGCGTGATGTTTATTTTGTAGATGTTCAAGCATAACATTCTTGTTTAAATATTTATAGGCATCTGTTACTAATGTTTTATAGTAATAATCATGTCATAAATATATCCCCACTTTATTATAATATTATCAATTCATAAAAAAGCGGCGAAAGGGCACATCATTGTTTTTGATAAATATATACATAATACCTTTATAAAACAAATGATTTGATTGTCTAACCCTTACGCTGCCATTTTATTTTTACAACCGAAAATTTTGACGGAGAGGCGGGGAAGAGATGCAATAACCTAGTACATTTAAGTTAGGTAATAATTATATTATTATAGCGTACGATATCATATATAATATATTATAGTGTGTTCCATACGACTGCCTTGTATAAAAAGTCACAAGTAACGATGTTTTCTACTTTTGGGTTTATTTGGTGTATTTAATATGTGGATTCCTGTATAGTAAAATTAAAAAAAAAACGACACGCGACCTATAGAGGCTCGCCGGCACCGCTAATAAAGCCGATGGGTCACTGTTAATGTCCAAGAGCTTTCACAGGGTGTCGCCCCATTATTTTGCGTGTGCACCGCTGTAAAAGGTAATGATACAAAAAAAAACAACAAAAATTAGAATCCTATGTATATACGTATAATATTATATTATTTTAAGCACACGTGTACACATACAAATTATTTGCAATTATTACGGATTTCTCGACCGATAGGTCGAATAAAAACCAAAAAAAGAACATAAAACTACCGTTTTGCAATATTATTATAGAACTATAGATATTTCGTGGATACTATAATATATATTTTGGATGAATACATGACGACTGAAAACTAGTATTTTTTTTTTAAAATGCGTGCGTAACATTATTTGAATTAAGCAAGCGAAATGTACAGGTCAGTACACGGTACAATTGTGTTTTATGGCGATAAATGGTTTAACATTTCGGGTTTTCTTTTATAATTAAGAATAGTTTAATATGTGATTTTATTTTAAGCTAATAGATAAGGAGTTAAATATTTTACTTAATCTAGACTATATATTGGGACCATTTATGTTAAATTTCCCTAATACTTCTGATGTATAGTTAAATAATGTCTCTCAGTGCCTGTCATTTACTATAGTTAGGCAATACACGTGTCTTGATTTAAAGCAACACCGCCCATTTATAAGGAGTAAAGTATAGGCAATTGTTTGCAAAATCTTAATTTAGAGCTTGAACTATATTGTATACTTACTGATACAGTAATGAGGATTTTTATTAGCTCCTTTTTTTTTTGTCAGATATCACAGTCATTTCTATAGGATAAATTATAACTTTATTCCCATTAAAACTGCTTTGCGAGGGACAAACTTACGAGGTCAAAATAAAATTACAGTAAACTAGTCAGAATAGTATTATTCACAGTAAATTTACTAAATTTAAACAATATATAGAAGCAAGCTTTATCTGTATTTTAGCGTTTTTATTTTTTAATATTAATACTTGGTAAGTTTTAATAAACAAATGAAAAAAAGAAAACTAACAAATGACTTGAATTGTTGAATTGAAAAAATAAAAACGTTACGATACAGGTAAAGTTTTTATCTGTTTAGTGTAATTTTTTTACGAGTACAACCCAAAACCCTTGTTCCCAGCACAACGAGTATTGCGGCGAAAGCACAGTTGGTGTGTCATCCTCTTAACAGATATTACAATAATTGTTTACCACCATAAAACATAATACAAATTATATCTATAATAATAGATAGACAAAAACAATGTCCAATAGAGGCAATCCGTAATTAGTTTGTAACGTCATACGAATGAAAAACTAAATATTACTGAACAATGGTTTAAGAAGTTCTTCGTGTATAAAGAGTAAAACCTCCGTAAAAAATTTTTGTAGAGTATTTATAATTGTAAATTTAATATATAAATTGTATTTAATGACCTACTCGTGTTTAGTAAAATATAAAAGCTAGAGCTTTTGTATGGCTATAACGATGTACGCTAATATAAGTGTGTATATTATATTACACATAATTTGCTTACCACCTTTAATAAAAGCTTATAATGATAATAAAGTGTATTTTAATTTATTACGATTATATATTTATGAAGCGAGAAAGTTGTATGTAGGATGAAAAAAAAAAAATTTACATAGTTGCACGGTAGTAAGCCAACACATTTAAGGTCGAATCAGCCACTACGGTTATTGTAATTGGAAGTCACCACTAGTAGTTTATATTGTAATATCTAATCATTCTAAAAGTAATTGAAAAATATTTCGATGCCAAGTTATTGGTCGTTTAGTGCAAAACAACAATTTCGGCCAAAAAACTTGATTACCCAAACAAAAATTAAAGTTATCAAAAACATTAAATTAATGTACTATCGTAATTAAAATTAAATTTTGTTCGTAATAACTAATTGTTTTAGCTCTTATTATCAAAATATCCTTAAAAATACTGATTTGATTAAAAGTCATATTATCCAGTTTTAAGGTTTTCGATTAAAAATAAACTAATTACAAGTGATTGCCCTTTATAAGTTGATATTTTTGAAAGCAAATATTTATTAAGATACATATTTTTAGCAAGGATTTTTTATAATATCTATAGTATGGAGTGTTGTTATTGTAAAAATCGCGCTCGATCTACTGGGACAATTCTGGATAGATATGATGTGTCCAAGTTAGAGGCCGAAGAGACGAGTTGGTGTTTTAAAAACAGACTAAATGAACAGTTAAGAAATACACGTTTTGATAGCATAGTGTCAATTGACGAAAAATGGAAAAAAGTGAGAGACTCAATAATGTCAGTATCAGAAATAGTTATCGGTAAACCAAAAAAAAAACAAAAAAGCCATGGTTTAATGAGATATGCGAGAAAGCACTAGCTCAGAGAAAAGATCTAAGGATTATATGGCTTGATGATCCTACAAATAAAGACAAAGAGGAACATTATAAACGATACCAAAAAGAAACACATAACACACTAAGAAGAGAAAAACGGTTGTACGCCCAAAAACTGTTAGAAGAAGCGGAACAAAATTTCAGTATAAATAATGTACGACAACTATATCAGAAGATAAACGCAGCAAGAGGAGGATATAAGAAACGAGAGAGGTTTCTAAGAGAAGATGATGGAACGTTAGTGACTGAACAAGGGAAGCTTCTGGAGAAGTGGACCGGATATTTTAAGAAACTCCTTAATTGTGATGACCCAGCTGAAGAATTTCCAAGAATGAATATAACAACTAATGATAGCGCTTGCCCAACACCTTCTAAACGAGAAATTGCATTACAAATCAAATGGTTAAAAAAACCATAAGTCCCCAGGAGAAAATGGTATTCAGGCAGAAATTCTAAAGAGGGTGGTAGATGAAGAAACGATTTCTAGAATCCACGAGATAATAGAACTGATCTGGGAAAATGAGATACTCCCGGAAGACTGGAATATTTCGTTAATATGTCCAATACATAAGAAGAATGACCCTCAAGACTGCAGAAATTACAGAGGTATAGCTCTAATAAACGTTGCTTATAAGATTTTGGCATATTGTATACTTGATAGGATAAAACCTTTAACGGAAGGTGTTTTGGGAGAATACCAGGGAGGTTTTAGACCTAACTGATCTACAACAGATCAGATTTTTTGTATTCGCCAAATTACCTAAAAGTCATGGGAATATAACAAAGAGCTAGACATTTTATTTATCGATTTTGAGAAAGCTTATGATTCAATCCATAGACCAACCTTAATCAACATATTAAAAGAATTTAATTTCCCATTAAAGCTAGTAAACTTGATTAAGGCTAGCCTTGAAAACACTTCGATTAAAATTAAAATTGCGAATACAGCATCAGAGACAGTAAGAGTATCTACGGGCTTAAGACAATGAGACGCTCTCTCTCCCGTTCTCTTTAATCTAGTGTTAGAAAAAATAGTCAGAGAATTAAATGTTATTGACGGAGTAACGATGGGTAACACGACAATAGGATTATTAGCATACGCCGATGACTTAGCCCTATTGGGAAATAATTTAGATATTGTGAAACAGCATTGTAGAAAACTAATAAATATAGCAGGCAAGTGTGGTCTAAAGATCAACGACAAAAAAACGGAGTATGTCATAATTGGGCGAAGAAGTAGGGAATATCGACAAGGAGAGTTTATAGAAGTAGAACACCATAAGTTTAAAAGAGCGCCACATTTTAAACATCTAGGATCCATAATAACACAAGATGGGAAATAGATGTTATTTTGGCCTAGGAAGTATGTTTGGCTCAAAAATATTATCAACAAAATTAAAAATTCAATTGTACATGACCCTGATAAGACCAGTAGTTTTATATGGCTCCGAGACATGGACTCTAAGAAAAGTAGAAGAAATAAGACTTGCAGTGTTTGAACGGAAAATTCTAAGAAGAATTTATGGACCATGTATCGATTCTGACACTGGGGAATGGAGGATACGCCACAATGATGAATTAAAGAACTTGTTTCAAAAACCATTATTGCAGAAATTACAAGGAAAAGATTAATGTGGGCTGGGCATACTTGGAGGAAAGAGGGCTCTTTTATTAAGGCGGTTATCAAAGAAAATCCGATTGGGAAAAGACCGTTTACCGCGTTTACGATGGGAGGATCGTATCAAAAAAGATGTTAAAGCAGTAGAACCAAATGTACAATGGAGAGAAGTTGCAGAGGATAGAGAAAGGTGGCGGAAAATTTGTTTGCAGGGATGGTCTTGAAGGCCGTAACCCACAAGAAGAAGAAGTATGGAGTGTTATGACTCCAGAGCAAGCTGGCTACGCAACTATATTACATGTACTTAAGTCACCAAATTAGGTTTAAGTTAAGTAAAACCTTCTTAGTTGATTAAAAAATTATTCTAGGGCCCTATCTGATCGTGTCTCAAAAATACCAATAACTGGAGGTGTACTGATCTACAGATATGGACAATAATCTAGATTATTAACCTGACAATTAATTGTCCAGTAACCAAGTGAAGCCGCCAAAAAACGTGATTAAAAACAAGATATAATTTTGTGGTATACAAAAGTAAGTGATGATATACAACTTTCTTGGTTAGTATCTAATTTTTAGTCATGACAATTTGTTGTATAGATATATCTTAAATAAATAAAGTGTTTTTTTTTACATAGATAATCTACTTTTGATTGGTATAATACCTGCAAACTTGAACTTCTCATAAAGTCCAGGAAAAGATATATACGAAGTAAGAAAATACTATATAAAACGATATTTTCAACAAAAACAATAGTATCAACTATCAAGTAAAACTAGGTAATTAAAATAAAAACATGGAATTTAATAAAACCTCAATTTATTAACAAGTAAGGTATAACGGACACATTTTTTCTTTATACACATTATTATATATTATATTATGTTTTAAAAATATGAAAGATATGAATTAAAAAAGACAATTTTGGATCAATTAAAATTGTATTCACAGACCATAGTTATAAGTGTTGACCAAATACAAAAGCATATATACTATCATAGAATTATAAAACCATATTTCTGTACAATAAGTGGCAACGCCAGGATCATTTTTAAGAGGGGTTAGGACGTTTAAATAACAGTACATCTAAAGCTAATGCGTTAGAAAAGGAGAAAACTTTGCTTACATGAAAAATAAAACAGCTCTAGAGGAATATTATAACCCTCTCCCCTCATTTACTGGCCGTGCCGTTGTATGATACATGATAATGCAAAACCACGGCCCGTAACAAAAAAATGTCGACTTAGTGAAATTATATAAAGTTGTATATAAAAACAAAAAAGCGCGTTTTATTTAGCTTAAATATAAATAATGATTAGGTATTATTGTTGATTTCGTGTAGCAAAACAATTTTGTTATAACAATAATAATAATAATATATATATAGTAACTTATTTGTTTAAAATAAAAACAAAAACAATAATTTCAAGAAGGTACACTATAAGATAATAAAGGATCATAAACAAGTTAATAATAATTATTATATAAACACCGTTTCGAAGTTAATTTGTCGAAGTAAGGCGTTACAAGGGCAGTAGTAACACGGTTAATTTTCGGTTTAAACAATATTATCGTATTGTCTCACTTTTTTTTTCACGTTCATAGAAACCGATTTTTGGTATACATGTTATATTTATAAATAAAAAAAAAAATTAAAAAAATTATTTTTATAAGTGCATAATTACAATAAAATATTAATACAAAAACAACACATTGCTTAATACGTTTACCCTGGTTAATCATAATGTCGATGTAGTAAATTTTTTTTTTTTACATTTTTTTCAACAATCTAAAGTCGTTTAGCTTAATAGATTCGACTAAAATATTTAATTTCTAGGTTATTAATATTGTGTGCACACAATATTTATGTATAATATTCGTATATAATATAAAAAATAAAGACCGCTTTATTTGAACTTACATACATTGATTAGATAATATTATGAAATTAATAATAAAAATATTGAACCAGCTAAAAAAAAGAAAAGTTGTAATAATCAATCGATATGTATGGTACGGTAGGTTAGGTCTAAAAAATAATAGCTATAAATAATAACATAATGAGTATTTCGGGCAGGATATAGGGAGGTAACTTTTTAAATAATATTTTAATACATAGTAAGGTTAATAGGTTTTTTACCATTATGTATAGGTCATCAGCGCATTACACATAAAGATTACAGTACATTTCGTTTCGCTTAATATCTATTTTTTCATACATAATTTATACACGTACAGTAAAAATCATTAAAATATTTTTTTTACACAATGCATTCATAAATATTCAAAAACCAAAAAAAATTGAATGATCTTGAATTGTTGTTTATCACATTTGTATAAATTAATTTGAAAGTATTATCTGACGATGCGTTGTAGTAATGTTGTAAAAGTAACGAATCAATATTTGTAAAGAATTCGAATAAAATACATAAAGAATTTGTGGCTAAAAATAAATGACAAAACAAGTGTAACCCTTTTGGCCAATAGTAATAATTTTCGGGTATTGGGATGGAAGTATTAAAAAAATAAAATTGAAGTAGAACAAAATAGGATTTCATCACAAAATTCCGAAATTTGTATCTGCCACTCGGGAAAGAAATTGGCGAAACGTGTTATTTAATTGAAACCCGAACTTTGACTTATTATAATATTATATGCTATACGGTGGAGATGAAGAGGAGTACCACTGCCAGTAGAACTGCTTCGTTCACGGTTATAATGTAAATAATAATTATAAGTATGAAGACGAGGATACAAATGATTATTCAAAGTAAATGTTGAGAACGAGCAATGAGTAGAAACGAGAGCGAAACAATGTGTTAAAATAGGAAGTTAATACAACAAATAAAAAAAAAATGATAAAAATGGAAGACGTTATTTGTCAATATGATTTAACATATTGTGTACACGTATATAGAGCTAAAAATATAAGAGAAAATTTGCTGAAATATTTGTAAGCATTTAGAATAATGTATTATAGCGTATAAAGATGTTTCGTTATTAATACAAATCATACTCAACATAAAAGGTAAGAGTAGATAAATATATTGAGTACAACCATACTAGTAACATTTTTTCAATGCAAGCTATCGATATTTGTTTTGCATTCTTAACTTTCGACAACAGTACAGATAATGTTTCAATCGATTGATTACCATACCAGTAACAAAACAAACAGAAATCGTCAATCTAATGGGGTTATAAATAAATTATGAAAACATATTATTCGCCAACGCCCGTTATTGATGCATCATACTGTTTGTCAATAAATTACAATTTAGTATTTTAAAGGTAGTTTTTGTAAAATTACATGGCTACACCTCAAGTCCATATCTTTATTATGGTTGTTATCGACGAATGAATTTTATGTAGACTGCACTTGGACAGTTTTAGAATAATATAATATATATCATGAATTTATAGATGGTCGATTAATATATTTTATAATACAGTGGTGTTTTCTTACTAGGCAACCCTCCCCTCTAACATTACGCCTAATATACTACATACACTTCTGTACAACTGAGCCAGCGCCTAACTATGTTGAATAATTCATTAATATATTTTATTACAATGGTCCCGTTAATATTAATTGAAAACGTTTTATGTAATACTTTATGTGTACTTTGATGGATTTCTTCCCGGAATTCGTCGGTTAGAAAATTTAAAAGTGACTCAAATGACCTGTGCTATTGTTTCCGTGTTACGCAAGGTATTCAAAATTTCACAAACCGGTAAAATGATGTATGTGATACAACAATGTTTGCTAAAAAAATGTTTATATATAAAATTAATTTTAACAAGACTTTAAAAATAATTGTTTATATTCAATATAAAAATATCAATTAAAGGCGTAGTCTGGGAAAGTTACATTTAATAATCAAAGTGCGACTTATTTAATTGCCAGAGTTATATATTGTATTACCGTAAAACCTACTAATATAAATACTCTCGAGTTACATGTCGGTTTATAGTCGGTTTATGTGTTGTGTGTAGAAGGAAAAAAATATTTGAGTATTGTGTTCGTCGAAAAATATTTATTATAATTTGGCTTGTAGACTAGTCATATTTTTCATTACTATCTCTGAAAATTCGGTTTTTAGATTTTTTTTTAAAAATATTCTTAATATTTTATTTAGTTGTAATAATAAAGATTATATACGAAACTTAGTTTTGTTAAAATATTTAATTCACAGAAAAAATTACCGGTTTGACAAATTTTGAACATGGTATGTAAAATAATATTTAACAACACCCAGTACGTACCGAATTCACAACTCATCGTACGGGTTTTTTTTAAAAATTGTAATCTTTTTTTAAACTTAAAAATTGTCCTAAAAAAAGTTCATGAAGATCTAACCAAAATGGAAGACTGCCAAAGGATGAATGTCCCCGAGAGGTTTTTTTTTAAAGATTTTTAATTTCCCTGCACGGACGATTGGTCTTCTTGTCTGGTTTCAGATTTGAGCTTGACGAATTCTTTAGCCACGTCGTCGTTATACCTCTGTGACAATATTCTTAGAATCGTCCATCCCGTCTCGTTCATCTGTATGCGCCGACCTAGTCCTAACCATTCGCCCGTCCGGACCTATTAAACGTCAAAAAGTTAAATAAACTGCTTACATATTCAAATGAAATCACGGTCAATTCCCATACCATTATGGGAACGTGACGCATCTGCAAAACGGCCACTCCAACCAGTCGGTCTTCCCTAGCGAAACAGTAGTCTTTCACGCAAAAGTGCAATTCGTAGCATTCCAGTTCTTCCAAAGCGCTAATTGAGCTAAATACAAACACAAACACCAAACGTCAATAGATTTCTCAACACTTAAACAGTAAAACATTACTTACAAAACGAACGCCTCGTTATATCTGGGACTCCAACTGCCCGATTTACTTTTGGTAGATTGCTTTCTCTTTTTGTCCGCCAGTCTTGGTCCGATCAGGTTGACTTCGACAAACGGACGAAACATTCCGGTCGTTGGCCACACCAAAGTATTAGCGGCGACCACTGTAAACATAAAAATAGAGAATTCAATAAAAACTGACATCCACACTGCTATGAGCTTTAATTATTGTTGAAAATATCCGTATAAAATAATTTGTATCGCAGTAATCTGTCATGTCAGCTAGAACATTGTATTCACAGAATTTTCTCCATCCTATCCTAAGAAATCATTTTCAGGTATACATATCACTTATTATATTATAGAAGGAAAAGAGAATTGTTCCAATATATTTTGTCTTGAATTTACTTAATTTAAATAATCAATTCAAATCAGGTGTACTTATTATTTACACAGTAGCAAATACCATATGATTAATATTCAATTAATTGTACCTCATTATATGATTGTATCCAATAATTTTACAAATAATTGATTGTTTTTTTTATAAAAGTTGTATATATCTACTTATCTTATACAAGATAAAACATTTCATTATATTATATATAAAATCCTTAGACGCAAATAGTTATTACCAGTTTTTATAATTTATTCCCACGAACCTTTTTTAGCTTCGATAAGTTGCCGAGAAAGTATTGTTTATAAAATTATTTTTTAATTTTTTATTTCGTGTCTGGATCCACAATATTTCCTAAAATGATTTTTTCATATTGCAAGTCTATACTTTAGAAATCCTACCTGAAAGATACTTTATTGGGCTAAAAATTTAAAAAGTTTACTCCCTTCCCTTCAAATCTGAGAAAATCCCTCAAATTATGTGTATATTTTAGGAGTGTGATTTTGGGACTTAAGGCCTGGAAATAAGACTGAATATATCTAAAGTGACGGAAACGCACTATTATAGACAGACTCATTGGATCGGTACAAAAACCATCGGTAATAAATTGCCTGTGTATTTGGTACCAGTATTGCGTCCAAACGCTAAATAAAACTTTGTACAAATATCTGCTTGATAAGTAATGATAACACCGTACATTAATTTATCTAAATAATTTCATGGCCCTGCAATAAAACGTTTTACGACCTAATACATTGTACGCCATTGAAATTAAATCAATTCTATAGTTTTATTGTTCAAAATAACCAAAACCTAGGGGCTAGTGTCAAACCGACGACAGAGAGCACCAAACACATTGATGTCTTACCCACTCTACCACTCGTTATGACTTATTTAAAAATATATATATCAATTTATTAAGAACTTCTTTGTGTTAGTGTTATTACTTTTTGTAGCTTATACAACTGAATTTATCTCAATATACCATTCTTTTAATGAAAATGTACCTGTTACTGTTAGTTTGAATTCATTGTTAGTAGGATGCGTTTCAATATACACATTAATTGAAATTTCTCCGTACGGTTCTTCATAGACGTAATTTTCTAAAAATACAAATTATAATATTATTTATAACTCCATATTTAATATCATAGCGACATAAGCTTATAATTAACACCGGCGAATGTTTTCGAAAGATATTTATAATTATTCATTGCCACTATAATATATTCTTAGTAAATAATACTTAATCCAGAGGGAGTACTATTCAAGAAACTCTTTTCATCCAAGGATAATAAAAACTAGGGAATCATTTTAGTATTAGCCTTAAAAGTTTTCGCTACCTTGCAATGGTCTTCTAGAGATTTCAAAAAGTTTTTCCATACGACTTCCCATGGATTTGACGTCTTCTTCTGCTTCGTCTAGAGCTTCTTCCTCTTCCGTTTCGTCATCTTCGTCGTAATCCATTTCGTCCATTTCATCTTTAACTTCTGTGCCACTCATAAGTGATGGTTGTCGAGGTAAGGGGTCGTTTTTCTGTGGTACTAGAATACCAAAAGAAAAATATCGTTGCATTGAAACGAATAATGATATATTATATGTAATGCCTTCTAATTCGTACCTTGGTGCAACTGTGTCAAGACAAACGTTTTGATTAATTCATCTGTTGATCTGGTATACAGCGAGAGGGCATAACACAGAGAAAGTAAGTCCGAACTTTTGTCTAAGTATTTTTTCTTAAGACCGTTTCCTCCGGCGTGGAAATACGTTTTGATGGTCTTCAACGCAGCTTCCAAAACTCTACATTGTTTTGTGTTCAAATTCTTTTCCATGTCCTAAAGAGATAAATGTACTATGTAAATGTAATATCAAATATTAAACCATACAAAATAAGAATCGACATACCATAACGCCAGTTAAAGCATTTTTTACGTCTTGTTTTCCAGCCATATGGTTTCGGATCAGTCTAGACATATCTTCAATTCTTGCATTGGCCGCCAAGGACCTTGCATTTTCACTTAGATTTTTCAGTATCATCTGTAAAATACGTGTATTATTATTTATTACTACCGTCATACAGTAGCTTAATTTTTTAGTTTTTTTTTCGAGAATTAAGAAATAATCTAATAAATTTGTCATTCTTACGCTTTTGTCCATCATAGGTGGTAACACTACTGATCTTTCTAAAATTCGTATAACGAGTTTCCATAACTCCCTAAGAATTCGTTTCAACACTGGCTTTTCACAAGTTTGAGCAAATAGTGATAAAGATCCATCCATAAGGTCCATCAATGGTCGTAAAATTTCGTCCACCTCCATCATGGATACTTGCTGTGGGTTTTGACTACCCCCTTTAATGCTTTGTAGGAGTTCGCCAAGTTCTTTGACACTTTTCTTGATTTGAGGTTCCAAACTGTTAATAGGACATTAAAATAGAGTTGTAGGTAATAGTGCGTTAAAGAGTGTAACTATTAGATTACTGTAGTTCAAAGTTTTACCTCTTTCCGAATTTGCCCGCAAGATCGTCTAACGCCTTCAAAAGCTGCGTCTGTAAATCGTTCAAAATATCTGTGGCGTCTTCCTCGAGTTGCTTTCCTCCCATAGACTCGAACATCTTTGTCAGCTGTACTCTCAGCTGCTGAATATTGTTCATCAGTATACATGCCTACGCAACAAAAATCATAAATCAGGTTGTGTAACTATCATTTGGGAATTGCCTTGCAAAACTCACTGTTCTCTCATCTAATTCTTTAGCGTCAAATTCTTTTTGAACTATGTCCACATATGCTAATAACACTTTAACAATAGTTTTTGCAAGTCGTTTCATGTAGCGATTGGATATTTCGGGATCGGGGCATTGCAATTTGGATATGACTCCAAAACATTGTGTAAGTTGAGTAAACACGTCCACCACCGAGTTGGAAAACAACGCGTGTTCCGAACTTCTTTGAAACTGTAATTACAAAACAAAGTTTGTAAAAGTTGCTGGACAAAAGTTTTTTTTAAGCGAAAAGGCCCACTTACCCCGTCTTTTTTGTCCCTGTTAAAAGCCCCGTGCAAATATTCCAGAGACACGTCATCGTTCTCGTTGAGCCATTGCATTACAAACGGCTCAAACCACGATGGATACTCTGGTATCGCATCTTTGTATGGCGGCGCGTCCTTAACGTAATTGGTAAACAGCCATTTTACTTTGAAATGAAGGTTCATGTAGGCGGAAGTTTTACATAGTCTATGCGTTTCATGTTCTTCTAAGGCGTATTTCATGTCCACAGCAAAAAAGCTCCACATCGTGGCTGCAGACAGCTAAAAGGGCATAACAAATACTTAGAACCCTATCCTACCCTATAGTTTAGTAAAACCACCATTTTACTCCCCAACGGTTTGTAGTTCCATTACGGTAAAACAAAAACAATTCAGATACATTTGAACGTGTTGAATGTTAATATAGATAAGTCACAAATTACCTGTCCTATATTCAGTTCTGCCGGGAATTGGCTTAGAACAGGAGCGTAGCTATTCCTATCTTCTTCGATCACAGAAGCGACGAGCGCAACGAGTTTATCCCAGAAACCTAAGTCGTCTAATTTCGGCCCGGTATCTTCATCTCGTTTTTCGTTCGGATCAGTCTAAATGAAAATAAGAAATAATGTTAAATAGGAAACTGGAAAATATTATTAAATATTCGTTACCTGATATTCTCTGCCGTATAAATCGTAGCAATTAGCAAACAAAAATTGATAAGTCGACCTAAGACATGCTTTTACGCAATCTTTTACGACGGTACTAGCTCTCGGAGGGCTCGACAGCTCTTGGACCTGCAAGGTAAAATATTGTGTTATAGGCTAACGAAAAACTTTGTTACAATTTAAATGTTTACCTTCATTCTGAAAAACGTGATGCTGGTCAGTAGATCGACCGTAGATTTGAGATCCATCAGTTTTTCCTGACTTGACGCTGGAAAATTATTTCTGTACATCGATAAGTCTATCCTCAGAGAATTGTGAAGTTGATCAAGCAGCTTAACAAATTTTTCTTTCTGCGAGTCATAAACAAATTCGTTATTAGGAGTTTATTATCTATTAATGTGTCAGTTTTCGTGATTACCCCAAAGTTTGACGCAGCAAAACGGTCGCTGGCGCTGACAGCCGAACTAGAGGTAGTATGTGCGTAATACGCGTTGATATTGGCCAACAGTGTGCTCATTACCGCAGGAACGCCAGGACAGAGGTATTTTGTGGAAAGACAGTGGAAGTGCCTGAAAAATGGGATTATTTCCAAGGTTACTTACTTTCGAGCAGTAATGATATAATACAATCGGTTGAAGTTCGTATAGGGTATGTTGTTGGAAGTATTTACTTGGTTTACGGTTACACCTATATAATATATTTACCAATTGGTTTTGTCAACGTTTCGAAAGCTTCCCGTCTTCTATTTTAGGGGCTGTGTTGTGTGCCGGTTGCGCAACCGTAGACTGAAGCGGTCTTATTAGCCGGCTCGTAACACAACCCGGAAGATGAAAGGCTACCGAAATGTTGGCATAACCAATTAGATGTAATCGTAAACCGTGCATTTTTTTGTTTAGAAAATATTTCTAATAATGATATTATTAGATAATAATAATTAATAAATAGTTATTATAAATCAATAAAACTAACGTCATAGCTTGATATATAGATTCTATGCCGTATCGCATGGCAAACTCGTCGACAATATCTTGTGCGGGCGATTCAAAATATAATTTCCAGCCGTCTTCTCCTTTGGCTTGGGGTAAGTGAACTATACCAGCGTTATTTTCACACAACGAGTGGAAAAGGTTTTCGTGAAGACACGTGTACTGGATATGGTAAGGAGCGACTTTTTCCTCTCCTTTGATTTCTACATTGATATGTAATCTTATAGCACCGGATACAGCGGATTTATCAGTCCTTTTTTCTAAATTGTACCAAACATCCATTTCTCCCGATAACGTCCGAACCTATAAAACAAATTTGATTTATAAAATATGTACGGTAATTTAAGAGACAATATAAAAAGGTGATTTACTTCTATTATCGTTTGTCCTAAAAAATCGTCCGATTCTCTCGTCAATTTTTGTCTAAGCCTAGATTTTAGATCGTTGTCTTCATCCCATACCCTGACTTTTATTCGATCCGAAGAATTGTGGCACTCACTACATTGAAAATGCAGTAATAATTAGTACACATTTACCTGATTCAATAAACTTAATGTAGTAACTCACAAATAGAACTTTTCGTTCCAAACGGGATTCAGCTCTTGGGGCATGGTTCTCGTTCGTTTTTTTACCTTACCTACTTGAACCGTTACGTAGGGATCCGACGTACCGCTTTTGTCTTTTGCGATAAGTCCTTGAGCGCATTTCACTAAAATGAAGTATAATAGAATTGACCGACGGTGTCTTTGAATGTTAGCTTTGAAATTGTAAAGCGCAATCAGATAAATACTTTCAAAGCTTTGCTGTACACATACAACTACTACGTGCAAACTAATGAACACATTGAATACACTAAAACATGCATGAAATCGTACGTATAACCGAAATATACCGTTGAAACCGCTAACATTATATGTTGACGCGTTTAGTGAAATTAAGTGGCTGTTCTTTTAATTGGAAAAATGTATGACAACGACGTTATCATTATTAATTGCTTTTGTTAAATTTCTAAGCTGTGAATATGCGAATCCTAATACGCCAGCTGCTGACCTGTTATTTCGATTTTGCACGACCATTTAGAAGTGCCTTCAAGAACGATAGCTTCGGCTTGCTCCAAGGAATCGATATGCATATCAGGTTCCACAGAAAACATAGTTCTTCAGATACGCAAAACCAAAACAACAAAAACAAATATTTACACACAATTTGAACGGGAATGATAGATATAGCAGTTTAAAACGTAGATATAAACGAATGAAAATTCTTTTTTTTCAGAATAATTAGAGGACGATATATAATTAAAAATAAGCAAACAAATAATAATAATAATATCACACACAATTTATATCTATATATATATATATATATATATATATATATATAATTTTTATTATAACATAAAACATTTCATGCTCAAAGTTTAAATAGACAACAGAAATATATATATATATATATATCAAAACTATACAGGCGTTATTCAAAAGAATTTTCATAAGAAATCTCGTGCTTTGAAAAACACACAAGGATATAATATTTACACACAAGAACATTTTCACAAAACCCAAATTCAAGCACAATGAAGGTAGCCGCACACAAAGCTTTTTGAAGTCATTTCCTCACAACGGCGAATTCATTTTCAATGTTTTTTTTATTTAAACAAACCTGTGATGGCAATTTTTGCTGACCACTTGCAAGTGCCATCCAATACAGATTGTTTCACCGCCTTAATATGACCCTGATGACTTTTCTCCTCCACTCCGAACACAGATCTGTATATCATTTAAAACAATTAACATGAAATCATTTTTTTTAATCATCTAATAGGATGTCTAAAATATGTCAAATAAAACATATGGCCTGGTTGGTGCTTGCATAATTATCCATAAATAATCTGTAAGTTTCGTTATAGTATATCCGTATCATATCATAAATCCATAATAGACTGTGTTGTGTGATTTAAAAAGCTATTTGAATCCAAAATAGTCTTCTGGTATTACTGTTAGCAGTGTGATGTTGTTGTGATCAATGGATCATCGTCATTATCGTCAGTTGTTGTACTTTCTTTTAACTCAATGACACTTTAGACAAACTTTATATACCAATCGCTTCCTAATCATTAGATTGTATGTGTCTGCGGTGTTTATTGATAAAAGTTAATAGTTATGGATCTCTATCCTTTTATCATAACTAATTAAATTGGAAGAAGTTTTACCATCTGCGAATCTTGGATAAATTACAATATTACTTTGTTCGCTTTTCATGTAGGCATTTCATTTTAATTCGGTTTGAAGGTACACATTGACATATTTTCACATATAGAGACCCGCTCGTTAAAATTTGTACTTTGAGTCTTAAAATGTTCGTTTTTGACATTACTGTCAAATGTGATGTACGTTCTAGTACAATTAATAGTACAGTATAACGTTGTCTAGTTGAGAAGTAAAAGTATTGCTTCTGTTGATTTTCATTTGGATGACACCAAATGTGTGTATAATTCTTTTTGTTTTACACTTTAAAATATATTATAGAACATTTCTTTATTAGTCCTAAACACACTCATACTTTTAAATGCTTAATTTATTACATAATTTGTTCAAAACCAGTTTCTTGAAGTTTCTTTTGGATGATAATACCTTGATGGATGAATTTATTTTATGTAATGTAAACGGTCGAATAAAAATAAAAACTAACCTGATAAGCTCGAAAATTTCTGGGTGGTCTCGTTCCCGTTGCAACATTCTGTCTTTCATAGCTTGTATTATTGATATTGCTTTGTCTTCTGCACCGTGCTTGGAACTCTTTTCGGCTGCTCCTGTTATGACAGAAAATATTTGTATTTAGATTCCGTATTATCGAAATCAACATGGGTCGAACATAAGTCACAAGTACATGTTGTTCAATAATATTTCAAAAGAACATAATATATGTTTTTTGTATTATTTAGATAATATATCATTACCCCCCAAAAAAAAATAATGCGTTTATGCAAAAATGTATGTAAAAGGTAAATGTAGATTATCAGAACAACGCCAAGACACTTTAAATGCCATTTTTAACGGTAAGTGTATATTATTATATGTTTTCTCTTTGTTCAGCAAAAAACTTACTTTGCAAACAGTCGGCGTTTAAGAGTTCTTTGCATTTCTCATGACACTTGACTCCGCATTCAGTACACCGTACTCCTTGCCTAGCAATACCCCATAATAGCCCTTCACACTCATAACAATACGTTGGTGACGTCGCAGTCCAAGAAACAAAGTTATGAGGCGTCGTTGACGATATTGGGTAAATTAAGGCCTGTAAAGCTTTTTTGTACACGTGCATTTTCTGAAAAAATACAGGTTAAAATTACAGTTATTAATAAATATTTCAGTTAAAATAAAAGTGTATTTGTCAGTAATTGTAGTACTATAAGTTCATATAAAATCATTAAAATAGAATTCCATAGGATTTCCATTGTTTAGACAACACTGTAAAGCCATAAAAAGTGTCTTTGTATTGTCCGGGATTTTTATGACGCATAGAAAACTTTGTTTCAAAACTATGGCATATTAAATGTAAGTAAGAATAGTGTGGTAATTTCAAAAAATGGTCTTACTTTAGGAAACTATTATTAAATAATAATGAAAAGTTTTAATATCTATATAATGAGTTTTATTTGGTACTAACCAACTCTTCGTCGTTGAGTGTCGGTCGAGGAACTCCCGATGCGAGTCCTGCATTTCTTTTCGTAGCGGCCATTGTCTAAAATACACCCATAATAGTTCCAGAGGAAAATTAATAATTTTCATAACAGAAAGATGCCAGTGATAAAGCTATTATAACCATAAGCAGAGATGTTAAGCGACTATGCGTGAATGTAGACAAATTAAGTTATACCCCGCAAAAATATATATATGTTTACCTCAAACCATTTAACTGTTATATGATACGTGCTTGGAATAAAGATGTTAAGTATTATTTTTGTCGGTGAGCATTATATTATAAATAATCTCCCTCAATTTTTTCGTTCAATATTTGCTAAAACTAGCTTTACATTTTAATTAGCAGTTAAATTATAGTGTTATAGTTATATTAAAGGAACTAATATAATATTATACCTAACACTACAACGAATTTTTAAGACAATGAAATTTTTAGTAAAGAAATGATTGACCGTTTAAAAAAACACATTTTTTATTATAAATGTTTCATTTAGAATGTGTCGAGTAGTTATAGTTAAAATTCAAAATACTATTTAAAATATTGGTATTTTACATTAATTAAAAAAAAACCATTAAATATGTAATTTTTTACAAACACATTTTTTTTACTTTGATGTTTAACTTAGATAATATTGAATAATTTTTAAAAGTTGCTTACTTTTTTACATAAAAAACATCTTTATTTCATTCAGTATGGTATACTTGACTTTGAATAATTTGTCCAAAGAATATTCAGTACATATTACATTTAACCTGTTGAACGGCTGGTGCTTGTTATTTAAAAAAAATATATATAATGCATAAAGATAAGAAAGGCCAGGTTTTTATTTTATATTTTGTTTAGAGTTTCAATAAAAAATAGTTTTTTTTAAAAAGAAATTTTTCCATATTTAATTTTTAATGAATATATTTAAATCTAAACTACTCATTCCATTTAATAATAAATGTTTCCATAATAACTTTTAAGAAATTATTAAGATTAACGCTATCATTATTACTATACAATTTAATTTCTAATCTTTTGTTAAAAAATGCATAACGAAATATTATTAATTAATTAACGTACACCCGCCGTTCGTGCTTGTTTTTTAAAATCTTTTTAATGAAATCTTTTGTTGATCCCCAAAAGCATAGCACTATTTTTTAAACAAAAATATCAATTCACTAGTAGCATTCAGATATTTAATTGATGATATATTGTACATCAGCCACCTAAAATCGATTTAATTAATCAGATACAAGTAATATTCTAAAATATAAATACATATAAGTGTAATTACCTACTATTAGTTATGTGTAGTTAAATACATTTAATTATTCTACATACGATAAGGTAATAATATTATAGAAAAACGAATAATATTAGTAGAGAAAAAAAATGTTAAAATATGTAAAGACTAGTTCAACTTTATAATCTAACTAATAATTATTTTTTTTAAATTAAAATGTGTTCGAAAATTGTTTACAGCACATGCATGCACAAATCGTAATGTTGTTAGATTAAAATTACAACATATTACTCCCATTATGTTTGTGTGTAAAAAATATACATATATACAAACATTTGAAAGACACAGTAATTTCAATTATTTAATTTTTAAGATGAAATATATTCTTATACGATAAACGTTCATAATAAATATGCATTTTATTTATAATATATGTTTCAACACAAACAAAAGCTAAATAGAAAAACAACTAAGCAATAGTGTAAAACACAAAATATTATAAATAAATACTTTTATTATTGCTAAACTATCACTACCTCTAATCAGATAAATATAATATTATTGTTGGAACTTCTAAGAAATCGACACTATTTTATAATAAATAATTGGTGTTACAAATAATAAAACGAGTTGGTGCTAAAGCAATGTGTGTAATATTATACGTGTGTTTATGTGCGTGTGTATGTGCATATGATGTGTTGTAATTGATAAAAGTCCATGTCACCAGATCTATTAGCGTGCTCTATATTTGTCTCTAAATAAAATTGTAAAAAAAAAAATAAACAAAAAGAAAAGAACGCTATACCTTGAGAACCTGGATCGATGCATGAAGATCACAAATAACAGACAAGATAACACAAATTAATTAGTTTAGGTACATGGTTAAAAAAAATATTTTAAAACCTATGCTGTTCAAATGAACATTCCTTAGTAGTAATACTAAATATAAGTAACTTTATTCGACACTTAAAAATAATAGTAATAATTAGTAAGAACTAATAATAATAACAAATGGTTAGCGAAATGAAGAAGTTACTGAAAACAATATTACATGTGGATTATTACTAACGAATAAAGTATGTTACATAGGAACACGTGAAAAGAGAGCACAATATGGTTTAGCAACAAAAGAAAAAACCATTCATGGGTACACATAAAACAACAAAAAAAAAGTCAGGACGCGAAAACCATTTCACATGAAGAAAAGTATAGATTACACAGTTAGAAGCGAACATTTGTACAAAATTATTCACTCCCACAAAATCACCGGGCACAATGTTCCTATTACCTTATGTTTTTTTTCCAACAATATTCAGTATTTAATTTGAGTTTTAAAAATATAAATGGGAACCTATTCCCAAATAATAACTTAATTAGGCAAAAAAAGTTCATAATTAAAAAATAATAACTATTATTTGTTCTTGCTTACCAATTCGGAAACAAGAGGGATAGACTTCCTCCTGGGTCGAATATCGGGCATACTGTCGATATTGCTGTAAAACGGATTGTCTCCGGGATGCCTAAAAACAGATAGTAATGACTACATACAAACTAATAATTGTAATAATAATAATAAGTTTTAATTATGTTTCCTATAAATAATGTGTACTTATCAATAACAAAAAAAAAGAAATATTCCAAATAACTGTATAACTTTGCATAATTTTTTCCATGATACTATGTCTTGTAGCTCAAAACAATTTCGAATAAATGAAATATAAACAACCAAACAGTATAATAATATTACACTAAAATAATTTAGTTGCACTTACTAAAATAGTTAAATTTAATAAAGTTGACTTGACTAAATTTTCGTTTGAAAATACAATTTATTGAGGTAAGCCAACTACATAATTTAGCTGTCTATTTTTTTTTTTAAAGTGTATGTAAAGATTATTTAATTATATTTAATTGTCATTATTACAGTTTAAAAAACAAAGTTCCCTACTGTAGCGTGGCTGTTTAAATATTATTTTTTGTCGTTAATACTACCAAGAAATATCCGATAAAGTATTATGTTGTTCTACTTCACTCAGTCAACCTCGATAGTTTTGATACCAAGTATGACGATAAATAAACATAATATTTTCTTTTGCCCGACTCTGTTTAAGGATCGAATGTTTGTTATCAGACAAGTCCTTTTCTCTCGGCGTGTGTAAAGTGCACTCCTGGATTACACACTCTTCCCTGCTATTATGTTTTCCTTTTCAACCACACACAAATTCGCGACACACAAATTCAATGAGCCAACTCAATAGCTTTATAGTAAAGCTAGTACTTATGGGTCTCTTCGTATGTATATAATGTACATCCGGTATCGCCTTAAAGCCGAGAAGAGGGGAAATAACATTATATTTAATTCACAAACAGTGTATCCGTACCGCCTAATATTACCACGTATTACGCCTTAGTACGTTTGTTAATCTTTATGAGATAGCTGTTTAAACTATCGGCAATGCTCAATGATTATTGCGACCCAGAGACCCAATTTCTATTAATGATTAAATCTTAGATAGAGCAGGATGGGGACATAACGGAAACAGAACATATTGGGGACGGTTTGGTCACAAGTCTTTAAGAATTATAATAAGTGAAAGTGATAAAACCACTTACAAATTATAAATTGTAACTACAAAATATGTTTAAGAAAGTCATATAGTTATAGCGCTACAACCTACACAATATCTACTTTAAGACTAATTTTTAGACTAAAATGTATAAAGTAGAAAAGTTTTTGGATTTTTTTCTCGATTTCGAAGGGAAGGAGTAAACTTTTTCTATTTTTGGCCAAATAAACTACCTTTTAGGACCCACCTACTCTTCTTGGGCCTACCTTGGACTTGAAGTCCATCTCAATAAATGTCTCATTTATGTTGTACTATTTTATTTTCCTCCTGTTTGGCATGTTCAAACCACCTCAATATATTCTACTTATCTCATTTTTATATTTATCGTTAAGTATTATTTTCTATTAATAAAAATATATTTTAGTAGATTACCGTTTAATAAATCTAAAGATCAGTGAAATTTTAGCTTACATTCTGGGTTTTCAGGTAAGTATGGGTGAAAATGTTTTTCATTTATGTATACGTCATGTGTACGGTTCGTAATTAAGGATCATAACGTATTCAGTAGACGGTTACTTTTTCATTAACTAATAACAAAATAAAACATTGAAAAAATACCCATCAATACAAAAAATAAACTTTGTATTGTATTTTAGGTCTGTTACAAACGCTGATGGTGATAGCATTCCTACCGAAATACTCGTATACTTACGCTACAATAGAAAAGTGTAGTAAGGAAAGGTACTTTTTAATATTTTATTACTTAATTATAGTTAAGTTATATATAACTGAGTTATTACTCAAAAAATCAACGGGAAGTTTTGCTAAAGATTTTTCTTAACTAATTATTTAACAGTAAAAACTCAATATTCCTCATGCCTCGAAGCATTAGTCTCTATGGTGTCTTTGGGTTAGTTCATTATTAAATAACCAACCACGGGATACTGGTGAGTAATCTCAGTGCTAATTCTGGTATTCTTGGACTGGTCATACATTTTATGGCTTTAACGAACATCAATTCTTTAGGAAAAAATTGTTTTTTTTTTTAAGTAACAGTTGAAATTTGTTTTAAAAATTCCTTAAATAATTGACTTTTTAAAATATTTTTGTACAAGAACCGTAGATTAAAACTATTTTTTTAATTTGTTAGTACGTTATTTTACTCTACGTCTAATCTTTAAATAATTTCATCGCAAGTGTTATAAAGACCAAGTCAACAACTATTACTGAGACATCCTCTGTATAAATACCAATCCCCCTCTCTATCCTTAAATGGTAATTTTGTTGTATTTAAAATTTAAAAAAAACACGGTAGTGACGTTTGAAATACCCGGATTTATGGACGGATATATAAATTATATATTATTATATTATATTATATTCATACGGATTAACTACTAAAAATGGTACATTTTAGTAGGTCAACCGTTTTTCTAAGATATGCTTAAATGTCTGTGTAACAATCTATTATTTAGCATTACTAGTTAGTTTTATTTAAAAACAAAGAGCTTTGAGCAGTTAAGATCTATTTAAATTTTAAAATAACAACGTTTTGTTTCTGTTGCAATCTTGACTTGCAGGTAGTGGTTAACGCTGAGAAAGTCATTGCATTCGAGTTTATCAAAACACATAAATAGTAATAGTACTGTGATATCGTCGACTTACCCATTTGCTCTGCTAAGGTTTTCGCCGCTTCCTCTTCCGTTCTGAAATAAAAATTGTAAAAGTATATTATTTCCATCTCTGCATTTACTGTACACAGCAGATTATATAAATACTATAATAAATATTATGGGTTATTATGTTTTCATACATGCCATGTCTCATTATATTCTCGAGACGAGGTCATTCCAGAGAGGGTATTGTAAAATAATTGGCTCGGGTATCAGACTACTGCAACGCGATATAAAAAAAAAGGAAACGGCAAGAGAAATAATACACTATACATACTATTATACTATACACGTGACTTAAGTATACGGTTATTTATGATAGTATTGTATATGACAGAAAATCTTTATTGGAATATACCTACCTTTTTTTCTTTTTTTTAACTCAACGACTCATCATAATTTATCTAAAGTTATTTGTGGACAAAAAGTTCGACCAGAAAAAACTAAACTGTTGCTGCCAACAACATTTTTCATATATAATGTGTGTAATATGTATGCGTATTTTGTGCATATTATATTATAGTCCCACTTCCTGTCGAAAAAAAAGGGTCGTTATTTTATTTTTTTTATACTCTTTTCTGTATCGATTATTTAATATGTATGTGTGTAACAGTTATAAGCCATCGTCAAAGGTTATACATTTAATACCAAATAGTAATTTATTTTAGAACTAGGCCAATATGTTATGTATACCGCGATCGTCAAAAACAGTAATTATTTAATAATAAATTAGAGGTTCTACAATGATTCTAAATCAATGGTTTTTCATTACCAATATTTGTGAAATTAAAGCTTTGATTTACTAGGTACTATTTTATCGACATGCCTATGTTAAAATTATAATATATATTAACAAAAAAAGTCTAGCAATATCGATTGAATTACATTATTGGGTAAGAAATACCATATAATACCACACTAGTATCTACACTAGATATTTATATTTATTTATACTGTTTGTACTATTTTATACTATTCGGCGAGCATCCGCGATGACGATGATTGTCAAGTACACAAGTCGTGTGGGACCGGCTTTAAAAATACGGCAAATATTTTAATTATTTATCTATAATTATAAATACAGATTAACTTATAAACATGTTTGAATTATACTTCGTTGAAACTAGTATAACTTGCAAGTATAATTGACACACTATTTTTAATATTGGTAAAATATTTTTGAAGGAAATAATAATATATTAGTAGGTATGTTAAATGTTTTAATCTTCTTCTCCTTCGCCTCAATACCAACTATTTGAGGTTGGCCATCATTTTCTTAATCTCCACTTAACATGATCTCTTATGATATCTACGCATACACCAGCAGTCTTTAAATCATTCTCAATTGCGTCCAACCACCTTTTTCGGTCTTCCAGTTCCCATTTTTTCTCTCACGTTTATTTTTATTACCATTCTTACTGCTTGCGAATGCTCTCCTCATAATACACCCAAACCATTTTAGTCTATTTTCTCAAATTTTGTCCGCTATCTTCTACTCTTACAATATTTTCCACCAATCCTTAATAAAACAAATTTAAAAAGACACATAAATTCCTGTGCGGGTGTTTATTGTGTTAACATAATAAGCAATAGGTGGTTAGGAAATGCCAAATAATATTAACATATTAGCTATAATACATAGCTCAATGATTAAACTTAAAATTATAAAAGATAGAGTTTTCTTTACAGTTAATAATGTAGTTAATCGTTTAACAATTTTAGTTTGGGCAAATATTGAAAGGTGACACTCGAGCATTGGAGACTGTTTGAAATTCCCATCCGATAGAATACGAGTAATAAGACCACACAATACAATGTAGCAGTAAGGCAGTACTTATTAGGATCCACGGGGTTTAAAAATCCTGATGTTATTGTCAAAATAAAATACAAACAATCATTTGTTCCATATATTCCAAATGGTTTAAATTGACGAGATAATTTTATTTTTACATATTCACTATATATATTGTCTTTGGTCTTTTTGATGAAATTTTCTCAAATTCTTGGTTGAACTACACCCTTTCTCAAACAAATTATTAGTTGAAATTATATTTTCATAATAAAATGACACTGTGTGAAAACATGTTTAATTGTAATTCAAACAGTTTAGTCGCAGTGTCTACAATAAAGTTGTTTCACAAGAGACTCAAATTGTTCTACGTTAACCGTAAAAGTTTTCACTATATTTATTCTTGCATTCAAGTATCCAGTTGATAAATAATAATAATAATAATAAATAGCTAAAACTTTTAAGCCTGATTGACAGATAATATTCAAAAAACGTAAAAATATATATTGTGTTTGCGATTTCGGCCATGGCGATGAATAAATTATAAACTGAAAACGGACAAAAAAGGTCAAAGTCCGAAAATGTATAGGGTTTACCTGGTATTTCATAAAAAACGTTCATAGTTCACGTCATGAGGGGAAAAATAGAAATTATTCATCGTCGGTCGACCGCACACGGCATTCCTAGTGAAATGAAAATTCAAAATGGAATAACCAAGCATTTCTCAATTGTCTATTCACATACGAACAGACCTATTGAAATTACGTTTCGGTAGTTTTTATAAGAAGTTGTCCATAGTTTATCAATATTGACTTGGTTATTGAGTGCACAACGTCTAACATACTTCTTACGTTTTCCATTCTTCATTTTTATATTATATTGACAAACCTATATGGCAATATTTAGTATAACAAAGATCTAAGAATTAATTTTTTTATTTTTATAGACTTTTTTAAGTTACTTAATTGATTCTTTATGTTTATTAAAAAATGAATTGTTTGGAAGTTAAAGTTTCCGAATAGAAAATGTGAGAGACGTCAAAGTACAAATGGTTTTGTAATTCGTTTATTGTTTTTAATTTCAGCATAAAATAGTTATACTACATAATAAAAGAATTTTATACTGGTTCTGCTTATGAAACTACATTATCATATCTAATAATAAACTAATATTTTTTATTGCGCATTTTTTTTTTGTTATACAACGGGCGCGGTTATAAAATATAATTTTTTTTATGGGTTTTCATGAATTTCATATCAATTAAATATATTTTAGATGAAATATTAACATCAAAATTTTACAATAATGTTATTAATTTTAAATTCTTCCTATTTAACATAATATAGTAACATATTTCACTTAAAGGTAGGAATAAGTTTGTAGTTAAATGATTTAAACCACATATCATTAATATATAGAAAGTTGAGATTTTATCGGTAATTTAAATAGTATTATTTTGACGCGCGTTTATTACAAATTAAGTCCATACAAAATATGAATATTTTTTTTATAGCCTTTATAAATTAATATTACTATAAATGTGTGCGTTGACTCGAGCAAAATATGATTTTAATTTCATAAGGTTAAATTAATAATAAATATTTCTATCTAACGCCAAGAATAATGCCCTAATCAATATTTCTTATAAAAAAATAAATGAAATAATAAAATCAAACTATACCAACTGTAACGTAACCGCAAATCGATTTCATCGATGTCGTTTGTCGCAGTCACGATGTGGTTTTTGTTTTTGTTCAATCGAAAAATAAATAATTAATGTACTGTCAATTTTATATCTATCCCCACTAAACAAAGGAATACAAAAACAAAGCGCTTACTTTTGTTTTTGTCCATTTCAATTACTGTTTTTAGTGTGCAACGTTTTTCTTTTATAGCACATTAACTTTAACCAAGAGCCAATTTAGTTGTTTTCAAACGTTCAAACAAACTAAAGAATATTCACTATAAATGTATACAGGGTGATTCATTAAGAATATGACACTTACTGCGTCTTTAAATGTATACAAACACACATCATTTTAAAATATTTGAATGGTATTATATTATTTATGATAAACTAGAATCTAAAATAAAATCCTGCCAAGTTATTGGAATACAAGGTTGGGGAACAGTAGATGGATAGTGAATTAAAAAATGGATTGCAATTGTACAGTGCTCTTTGATAAAAACATGTTTTGCGATGTGTATACTTGGCAATACTCATGGTAATAATATATCGTCGTTATAGCGTTTTAAAAATCATTAGGAAACACGATAATTCAAAAAACTGACTCCGTGCCAAATTTCACAATTTTTTTTTTGTTGGACGATCACCAAATATGGCGTAGATTTACCAATAAATTAAGAGGGACAAAATATAACCCATAATATTATGTCTTTAGATTTCTTTTTTTTTAATTACCGCTAGAACAACTAAACTATAATGTGTCTACATACCTACTATAGGTATGTTATTATCCCAACAAAACCACTTCGTTAGCTATGTCAATTAGTCTTAGTGCGAACATTATAACCGATTAAGAAAAATACCATAGCATTCGTTAGTACACAGATAGTATATTATAATATGATTTACTGGTAAACACAGTAGATGTGCCAACGGGATGTAAGTTTATAATAATTAATAATATTTGAGTAGTGTCGATAAGTGAAAATTGTACAAAGCCACAACGACAGTGTGTCAAAACGAATGGAAGACCCATGCACTAGGGGTGACGGTAGCGGTGTAATCAATGAAGTAAAACGAGCGGTACACTAAATGAAAAATTGGATGCTTCTCCCTTCCTGCGATTCCTATATAATTTGATCGTACAACAATATAGGAAACATTTGAGTAAGCCCACTACACTGTAAATACTGATTATGAAAATGAAATTTGCATATATTTGTTCAACAGCCGTTAGCGTTTAACATACATATCAATTAGCGGGTCGGTCGACCCGCAAGCCAAACTTGCAGTCCACGACGAATTCCTTCTTCTCTTACTCTCTATTTAGAGAGCAAACTCTTAAAACAGCCGGCAAGCGATAGCGCACTAGCACGTATTTTTGTTATTTACATAGTAATAGGTATTAATTATCTAATTGTATGAACACAATTAAGCACAAATATGAATGCGTGAGTAAAAATTCTTTTGCGTATTTTAATTTCAAATGCTCTCCCCTCCAAGTATTAGAAGACTATACTATAGTTGTTTTATTATTCCATTCATAAGCCATGTCATCCCTTCGGTAGATTAAAAAAAAATGTTTTTGTTATTACAAATGAATACATTAACATGCTTATTACTGAGCTATTGGAATGGTAAAATAAAATAATCATACATCGATCGTTCTCGACTTTTTGCAAAATTAAATTTGACTTCTCTTGAGATTTCATTAAAAAATAAATAATAATAATAATAATGCATAGCTACATAATTCATCCGAGTCGTGCCTACCCCGGCAGAGTTTTGAACATAATATTATACCATTGCCGCCGCAACTCAGCTAAAAGCGAGTTGAGGTTATTATGATATAATATTGTAGTTTTTTTTTTGTTTTGCTGTTGCTTAAAACAAAAAAAAATGGCTAACTTCGGACGGTGCTAATTACTCGTACACGTATCAATCATCATCCGCGACATTGTTGGCATATAAACGCCATTCCAGCTTAATGCGTTTTCACCGGTATTTTAATATTTCATTGTGCCTGCACTCGTTCGATCGATACCAACAATACGGT